TTTTTTTTTAAGACAAAAGAAACCTATAGATGTTTGTATGTTGACAGAAAATCCAAAAATGGTGGTAGTGGTGGTGCCTAATTGATTTTTAATCTCTTGTGAATTTGGTAAGGTTGAATCAAAGTTTCTGAATATGAACTTTGGACCTCCAAAGCTGAGAAACTGAGCCTGCAAACTGGTGATGTCACCAAAGCACAATTACCTTAATGGGGACACATGAGGATGGCAAAATCTTTATCTTGTCTTATACCTGTGAGCATAGCCACAGACTCACCAATGGGTGATTGCCTTGCTATAAAGTCTCTAAATTTGAGTGGTAACATTACAGCTAAACTGTTAATCTCACTTGTAGTGTAAATAGCTATGAGGTACCCTACCCCAACTGCAAAGATTTAAAACCATGAGAAATCACTGCTGGTGAGAAGACAAATTGGTGCAAGCCCTTAGGGAAATAATGGCACACGTTTCCAGAGCAATACACATTCTCATATCATTTGTCCCAGTAATTCCATCTCTGAGAGCTTGGATACAGAAAAACAAAATCAAAGTCTGAAGATGTTTATTGCAGCATTGTTTGTAAGGAAAAACCAGAAACAATCTGAGTGTTCAGGAGTGAAGACATGTCTAGACACACAGTAGAATATACACTTAATGGAAAACAGCATAGTGATTTAAAATACTACTCACAAAGAAAATGCAATTTTCACAACGTAATATACATATAATGTTAAATATGCAAAGCAGAATAAAAATTTTACAATAGGAACACAACTATGTAAGCAACCCCCAAAAAAAGACTGAAAAGGTCTTCACCAGGAGTGATTGTTTGCCTGGTTGGTACTCGGGTAATGAAAAAGATACTAAACATGAAAAGATCTCTCTAGCTCTCCGCTGATTAGCAATGGCTTACGTTACATTGATTACTATTTTTTTCTGTTCACTTTTTCATATCTTTCTCTGGCATTTTGGTAATGCATAAATTACCCATAAAGAAATGCAGGTGTTTTGCTGAAAATGCATCAAATGAAACCTCTAGACAACATACCAAGAAAGCATCTTTAAAATATTTTTATTATGCTCAACATCATTTTTCTGTATAAAACAACACACAATTATTTGGAAAATACAGGAAAATTGTAAAATCACAGAACTGTGGAGAGGTAAAGAAAAATTTCATTTAATTCTTCTACTCAGATCTAAGTGTTGATACCTTATTGAGAAGGAAATGGATTTTTTTTTTTTTTTTTTTGAGACGGAGTTTCGCTCTTGTCACCCAGGCTGGAGTGCAATGGTGTGATCTTGGCTCACTGCAACCTCTGCCTCTCAGGTTCAAGCGATTCTCCTTCCTCAGCCTCCCAAGTAGCTGGGATTACAGGCATTCACCACCATGCCCAGCTAATTTTTGTATTTTTAGTAGAGACGGGGTTTCACTATGTTGTCCAGGCTGGTCTGGAACTCCTGACCTCAGGCGATCCACCCACCTCGGCCTCCCAAAATACTGGGATTACAGGCATGAGCCACCTTGTCCGGCCAGGAAACGGATTTTGATGGGAGGGACTGGTATGTTTATCTTAAACAAATGCATATAATTCTGATATAAAACCCTAATGTAACATTTTACTCTTCAAGAAAGCCAAATCATTCATAGACAGTGTGGTGCAGGTTTAAGGGCAATCAAGAGTTGTTGACCTTGATCTATGCGAAGCTCACAGGGTGAGTAGTTGAGTTCGATCTATGTGGAATGGGGAGGGTAGGGGCTGGTGAGGGCTATGTAGTGGACCTGCCCTCATTGACTAACTAATTGAAAGCAACTTTTGCAGCTGTTACTGTTGTTGAGGGTGTATTCCACCAGTAGGTTGGAGACATAGGCAAAATATAACTAGATTTCAGCCACATGTTTGGACATGGTGCCGGAAGACTAGTTCATGCTGATTCCTGCATTTCTCCCTGTTATTTGAGGACAGGGGCCTCTATTCAACTCTGTATCTCCAGCAAAGCACTGAACATAGCAGATGCTCAATTAACATATGTTGAAGTAAACTAAAGCCTTGGATTCAAATTCCTACCCTATCAAGTATTAGGTAGATGCTCCCATCCACTTCTTTGGCTTCAACCCCGTCTTTGATCTAGAGACTTTCAAATCTCAATCATTGATCTTGTCTTTCCAAAACGCCAGACCCAGCTAACTCCTTGCCTCCTGGACTTTTCTTCCTTGATGTTCCATAAGTAGCTCAAAATCAGTATGTCCCCCTTGAACTCATCACTATCTCCCCCAAACCCCTACCCTTCCTCCTGTGAACCCTTGCTTTGTTAACAGTGTCACAATCTGTCTGGGTAACCAAGCAAGAGACTAAGTTCTCTTCCTGCTCTCTTTCATTTATTTACTCATGAGATCCTTCCTGCTGACTCTCACCCAAAAATGTTGAAACCTTATCTCCATTCCTACAGCTGCTTTTGTTCAGACTCTCATCATATTTATCTGGATTATTACATCAATCTCCTAACCAGTTTCTCTGCCTCTGATCTTCCTGTTTCAAAACATCTTCTACATGGTCATAACCAAAGGTGTCTATCTGAACTCAGGCATAATTATGCCACTTCCTTTCTTTAAAACATGCCAAGGCTCCTCATTGCCTTAAGAATCCAAATTCCCAGACAACTCAGAGGGCCTGTCACAATCTGGCTCCAACAACCCTTTCTGGTCTCATCTCATATAGAACTCACCCCTCTCATCTCAAATAGGATGGTCTGCTCTAGCTGTTTTTAAAAATCCCCCCTCCCCCAGATGGAACCTAGCATCTCTCTTTGCATAGAAGGGTACAGAATATTCTCTCCCATCTCCTTATTGCTGCTGCTCCTTCCCCTTGGAGCTTCCACTCTCTATTCGAAGTCTAGCCATGTGTCACCTCCTTTGAGCACCCTTCTTGGGGCAGAGCCACTTATTTCTCATAGTGCTTAGTCCATACATCTATGGTAGCACTTATTGGGTCCGTGTGTGCGTGTGTGTGTGTGACCTCAGAGCTTAAGATGGTCCCTGGTGCATAGTGATGACACTGTCAATGTTTGGGACAAGAGTGAAGTCCTAAATAGGGCATGATGGATTTAACTGCTGGCACCAAATCCCTCCCCTGTGAAAACAGCCCCAGCTTCTGAGTACTGTCTATGGTCTCAGCCCACCCCCAGACCCATTCTGTATGCAGGGATCCTCAAACTTCCCTTTGCAAGAAGATCTTCTGGATGCTTTTTTTCCCACAGGTAGAGCATCCTTCCCATGTCACAAAAGATTGAGTCAACAGTGATCAATTCATGCTCAGTGAATTAGATTTGTTCAGAGAGGCCCAGAGATGGGGTAATGATCCCATGGGTAAAAGATTCATGTCTGAAGAAATGATAGGTATGCACCTAGAAGAAGAGAAGAGAGTGGGGCTTATTTACATTCTGAGATTTAAATGAGATATGGCCGGAGGACTCTTCATTCCATCTGATTAAACCTACACAAGAGTTCATGTGGGGGCACACAATGGCAAACTAAAGATATTCTGTTAAGTTCTACTCAACTTTTAGGACGTACCTTAGAATCCTCAATCAGTACTACAGAAAGCCTCGAACCTGGGCTAGGTTCACTTCCCATCCCATCCAGGCTTCTCTGCAGCAGAAATAGGTGTTCAATTAAATGGAATAATATAGTCCTCCTTTCACACCTCAGGAGATCAATGAGCCCATAGCTAGCACTCACATATTTATAGACTGAACAAATGAACGTATTTTGGGGCTCGAGGAGATCACAACCTACTGGGGAGGCAGGGGAGGTGGGAGGATGCTAGGACCCTGCTATCCCCACTACACCGCGCACTGCAGTCTGGGGTTCACCGTGCAGTAGAAAGGAGAAGCAAAGCGATGAAACCCACGTGGGATTCGTGAGGGCTTTGTGGAGAAGTGATGTGATCAGTGAGATTTCTAGGGGGAAGGGATCCAGGGCCAGGAAGCAACTGAAGGAAAGGCTGAAAGGAGGGAAATGCAGGGTACGATCTGGATGGAGTTAAAATGGCAGAAAACTGAGGCTGAGTGAGAAGAGGTCTGGTACTGAGGTGGGGACCGGAGTTCTAGCACTGGCCTTTTGACAGCCTCTGGGTCCCAGGTGGAGTGGGTGGGGCGAGAGCCCTCGCATTCTTCTCCAATCAACACCAGGGGTGTGGTGTCTTAGGCAAGGGTGGGTGCTGTGCGCCCTGCCGCCCACCACAGGCAGGGCCTGGGAACCCGGGGAGGACTCTCCCCACCTCCAGCCTCCGGCAGTGTCCGCCAGGCAGGGCGGGGGCCAGCCCTGGTGTTGAGTAGCGGACCCCAGGGGGATGACTAAGCCTTGGCTGCGAACAGACACGAGCATGCCAAGTTATGAGACGATGATAACTCGCCCGGAGCCTCTGGGGTCGTGGCCGTGGGCCGGCAGGGGCGAGGCGGGCGTCCGGAGGG